AAAAATTAATAACAATTCATGAGATTATATCTGGATACTATTTGACAATTGAGTGAATTGAAATTGACTACTAAGGAAGACTCAGCTAGAAGTAAATTTTATTAACGCAAATTTTAAGCAAGCACTTAAGACTGAATTCTATTAATTTATTTCTTTCAAACAAGACACATGTCAAGAAATTGAAGATTTACAAAAAAAAAGCAAAAAAGTAATGCTCTATATAGTTAAATAAAATTAATTGTTAATATAATAAATATAATATATAATTAAAAATAAAAATAAATTATTTGCTAATATATGGCATTAAAATAAAAATAAAAAATTTCGGGCAACTATATTTTTATATTATTTGCAAATAATTTTATTTTCAGTAGCCATAGTGGTACTATTTTTTCTAAATTGAATATTTAGTGTTATTTTTAAAATATATATAAATGGATTGCGAGCAAATAAATAGACACGTTAAAAAAATAATTATTATTATTGTGGGCAATTTGGATCATTTAGATGAACCAGACGAGTCTGGTGGTCCAGACAAAAGAAAAAAATCATTAGAAGAGTAAAGCTCAGTCACAAGTAGGCAGGCGCCTTATCCATCAAGCCGGGCCGACGGAGAATTGCGCGACTCTCGCATTTATCTTGCACACGCCATTTTTCGATATTGAGCCCGCGCACTTGAGCGCAGTATAAACGACGCCAGTACGAATATATATAATCGTCTCATAATAATCCCGCACTCGAAATGGTCATTAGGGAAACGATAATGATTGAATAATTAGAGGAAACGCTCGTTGAGAACTATGCGAAATTGGTGCCTAGCATAAAGTACGGTCCTTATTTTATTTTCGCTGCAGAGCCAAATCGGTCGGCGCTGCATGTGTAACACTCGGACTTGGTCAAGGGATTTCGCTTCGTTTCCATTGTTTGTACGCGGCTGCTATTTCAGGACGAGAGCTTGAGTTTCCCACTGGGCAGCCCGTCTTTCTCTCTCTCCCCCAGCTAATGATATTAAGTCTATAGTGATCAATGCCCGGCTTATTACATTGGTAGCCATGGCAACACAATTAATCATTTGTACTTATTATTACGCCCACGCAACCTTGGCTCGCTCTCTAGCTCGTTGCCGGAATGGCTCAGATGCGCAATTTCCCCCGATTTGATGCAATTTGCGTTGCGAACGCACACATATTCCAATATCGATTCCACAAAAGAGATTCAAACGTTATTTGAATTTTTAACTTGTAGAATTTTTATATTATTTAATAAATCTTAAAATTTAACTAATTGCTTTAAATAATAATAATAAAAAAAATTATTTTTTACTTTTAAAATATTTTTGTTTTATTTTCTATATTTTTATAATTGAAGCCATTTACAAGAAAAAATTTCAATAGTAATGAAATGATACCAAAATTATCCACTTATAAATAAAAGATATATAAAGCGCTTTAAGGGTAGTGGTGTTACATGATATCTAAGTGGAAATTTATTAGCTTATCGGTCTTCAACAATATTAGTAATACACTTTTAATAATTTCTAAAATCAATTTTCAACATCATTGATATTTATTTATAACAATCATTGCAACAAATTAGACCATTACAAACAAGCAAAAGGCAGAAAATACAAGAAGTGAAGAATAAACGCAAAAAATGAATGAAAATTTATTTCTATAGTAAAATTTACACCTCATTGTATTGCTGATCGCATCAACTATTTTTGCTGTAAGAAACTGATGTTAAAATATCGTCACTAATTTTTTTATTGCTAAATATATCATTAAATGTTTTGTATTATTTGCACTAAAAAGTATGTAGGTTTTATCTGAGCTAACAAATATTTATTTTGCAATCTAATGAAAGGTTAAATTTTGAAGAAAGTATTAATTGACATGATCAAATCTTTTATAAAATTTAAAAAGCAGTCAAAACGGTTTATATTTAACTTGCTTTGATTTTATAACTAAATTTTCGTTTATTATCCGCTAAATTAAATTCGTTAAATCCTTCTGTATGCATTTTTTTACTTTTCGGCACTGTTAAATATAAGATTAGCCTGGGCAAAATACAGAGTCAAATGAAAAGAAACGCCGCGGTCCATTAAACAATCTCATTAATGAGATGAATTATTAGACATTCAAACAACTAATAAATCACCATACTTGACTACTTTGACATCTTGGCGTGTGTTCACTGAGTGATCAACCAACAAAATCAAAAGCATTCCAAGTTGGCCGAGAGCGAATCTGCCTTGGCGCGAGAGAAAAAAAATAAGCAACTCATTATACAGACACAGCATGATTTGCATACATGAATATAGATAGGGGAAGCGAGCGAGACCGCTCGAATTAATTCAACAGCTGTACATCATACTCGAATTCCACTTGTTAAATTTATCCACAAGACGATTTGAAATGAATAAAAAAAAAAGAAAATGCTTCTCTCGATCGGGATGCGCATAAATTAAAACCCAATTACGCACGCAATCTCGATTCTTCTGCGCGGGTATGCAACCGGCCACGCAATTCTGCCGCCCGAGTTGCATACATAGGATGAAGGGGTGCAGCTGGGGCGGAATTAGCGCAATCGGAATAATGTGCTGCACGCACTGCTTGTTTTTGCGGCCGGCAATTGGCATTCTTTCGCCTGCTCTATCCACTTTGCATCTAGATTAATTATCTCTCTCTCTTTGCCCGAGTATGTACGTACACATGCACGCAATCGTCGTCAGCACAAATGAATGAGAAGCGACTGCGCGGCCGTGTGTGCATAATAATTGCCCGGCTACCTGGAAGAACCCCCGGAGGGACGCGCGGTCGGTCGGTTGGACGTGGCTTTCGTAATGCTGAGACCGTCGTGTGGCATGTTGATGTGCGCAATTAAAATTTGTGATTAAAACAAAACTGCCACATGGGTTGTTATTATGTGCTGTAAACTCATTATGTCGTGTCGCAATTGATGTCACTATTATCATGTTGATAAATAGATTGGTGATCAAATTAAACACATTTTTAACTGGTAAGGTGAATTTTTAAGCTCAACGTGCAAATATGTTGTTTTTTAATGAAATATGAAAAAACTATAACATGAAAGTAAAAAATGTAAAGCGAAACTGATTTAAATTCAGTCAAGGCACTCATTGCACTTTAATTTGAAATTAAATTGCCGTAGAAAAAGTTCAAAAATTTAAACAATCTTAAAATAGTGTTAAAATTAAAAAAAGTATATTTTAACTTATAAGATTCAACATTGTAATTTCTAATGACACAATTCGCATTGTCAGGATGTAGAATTAAGCAAAATTGAAGAATTTTTTTTACCAGTCAATAGCACGCAGGACTTTAATTTAATTTAATTAAAAATATAGAATAAATACAACAAAATTGATTTAAAAAAATAAAAAATACTAACATTAATTGATCCATTAACCTTGATTATTTTGGTCTAAATTTTTATGTTACACGTGATTTAAAATAGGCTGAACTCCCCAGAGGATTTTTATAATTAAATATTTTGTTACATTTTCTGCTCAGCGGTGCTGGTCATGTGTGTGTGCAGGTGAATGAAACGTAATTTCCTGCGTTGTGTGTAAAAACTATTAATACAAAATGCACCAAGGAATAACCACGAGTTTAATTCTGTACGCAATCCTTGTCGATTCTAAATCTATACATCTAATTATTTTTAAATTAGCCTACTTTACCGCATTCAATAGATATTTTCAGATACATAATAAGTGTGAAGCTAACACGTGCATTTACTGGCCAGTTCCCTAGTTAATTAAAAAGTGTTAAAAAGTATAGCAAAGGTGCCCAAATTACCGGAAGTTGATTTTTAGAATCATGATAAGTCTTTACTTTATAGTAAATTTTCGTCACCGTATTTTCATGGTCCAAAAATATGAGCAGCTGACTTAAAATTTTGAATTATGCACACAGATTTTCTTAGTTTCTCTGGAAAAAAATCCATGTTATCTCACCAAAATATAATGTAAATAATCATCATTGGCAATTAAATAACACATTTTCAATTAAGAACTAAAAACGCCTGGGCGTACAATTGATATTTCCAATATTAGTTTCAATAAGAAAAACGTGAAAAATTAAAAAATGAAGTCTTCCAATTTTGTGCAAATAGTCTAGTTTAGTATAGTTCTAATTTATTTTTTTAATTCAAATAATTATATGAGGCTCTGCTGAAAATTTTGTGTAAAACTATTTAAATAAATTCAAAATCCACTTAAAAAATCCATCTTGCCATTATTTCTTTTAATTAGCAATTTCTGTGGACATTCAATACGTGCTTGTATTTGGAAAAGTATAGGAATATATCAAATTCATCACTTTCAACATTTTCGGAAGTGATTTGATTGATAGGTCCATAAATCTGCGCTGCCGACCACCCGGCTTTGATCTGCGCATTTGCACAGAGTAAGTGCTCGAACGTGAGTCACCGCCGCATTTATTATACCAAAATAGTACCTTTTCTCCGAACGGAAAAAATGCAAACTGCATGTCCAGCAAAAACTGTGGGGGTGAGAAATTGGGAAACATGAGAAACATCAATATATACTTTGAAATTCTCGCGCACATCAGGAAATAAAAAGAAAGCACTTTGGAAAGTGCGTGTAAGTGTCAGCGGCAGAAAAGCACCAGGGGAGTTTTTCTAAAAACATATAAATTTTTTCGAATAGCAAAAAAAAAAACTCACGGTCCGGCGGTACAAGCAAGAAGCCCCTGGAGCAATCTCACCCCCTGCGATTTGAATTTCATCCCCTGCTTATGTATATTGTAATAATATGAATTGCATTTAGATAAATCGGGGCGCACGAAGGGGTGGCACATAAAAATCGCCGCGGCGCTTTGTGAGAGGGTGGGACGGCCGAGGGAGGGGGACTCGCCGATTCGGACATCGGAAAAGGGAGTGGTTTATAATGCAAAGTGCGAGAGAGCGGCGGGCGCTCCGTGTGTAGAGCTATAGATTTATAATTGAGAGGGAACTGGTGCGAGGTCGCTTCTCCAAACTCGCGCCGCCGTGGTGGTGGAGGAACAACAGGAGCAAAGCGCTGCCGGCCTCACTCGACTGTGGCTCGGCGCCGCGCCCGCATCGCAGCAGCTCCGTCTCGCTCTCTCGTAAACCCAGTTCGCAATTCGCCACTTCCGTGCATTTCCTTCCACGACCGGAAGTTGAGCTTCTCTTGGCCCACTTTTCCCACACGGCCGGAACCATTGAGGTGGCGACGGAGGCGTTCGCGTCCAGATTTCTCGCCTCAGGTAGGAGTTTTCTCCAATAATTTATTTCAGTTCCCGGTTTTTTTTTCTATTTTCAAAAAGAAACGCAGTAAAATTCTGACACAAGTCTCAAAATTTGATGTATCTTGGAATTATTTATTTGTGTTTTTTCTGATCGCGTTTTTTTTCTTTACTATTTGCATTTCGTGCACGTCACTCTAGCAACTCTGACACGGTCGAGCTGCGTGTCGAATTAATATTTATCCGCAATTTTCCGATCGCGAACTTCTTTCTTATTGTCACTCAAATCCACGTGCTGCTGTCGGGGCTGGCGAGCGTGGTGCGGGAGAGGAAACTCCCACCGCGGAGACGCGCGAGAGACGATCTCCCACGTCGCGCTCTCTCTCTCTCTATGTATAGGCGGCGGCGGGCGCGATGAATGAAGTTTGTTGTTGTTGTGCCTGCCCCGTGCGTATGAGATGACGAGCAGGCGCCCGACCTCGTCGTCGTCGCGCCGTAATTAAGCTCGAAAAGAAGCCGTTTCCAGCAATTTCGCACAACCGGTATATATATTTGAAAGTGTGGCAAAAAATTGTTCTCGGACAAGTTAATGACGGGGAAATGTTCGGCGGTGGGAATCTCTCGGCGAGTTTGATGTAAGACACGAGGAAAATCGTTTGAGAAATAAATGTACCGCGCTTAATGAATGATTGCAGTGTTTCCCCACGTTTAATTTTCAATCTTGTTGTAAATGGATGAAATGAACAATTCCGTTCCTTGTGCGATGATTCATTTGAAATTCAGGACAGAGGGTTTTTGGCTAATTTTTCAATATTTTTGCTAATAATTTTGCATCCATGGCAAGAAAATCTCGATGAAAAGTAAAATACTGTGAAAATTCAATCTTAATTCGGAAGGGAAGAAATAGTATTTCTGAAATACAAACATAATAATTTTTTACCAAATAAACATATATCTGAATTACCCTCAATAAACATTCCAAATTCATTATCAATTTTATCATATTCAACGAATCAATAACAAACAAAAAAACTTTGATTTTTTTTTATCATTTTGCAATTGGATAACCAACATTTAATTTCTTTGGGAAGAAGAGATTTTATTCAAAATTATTTACATGCCAAAATAATGAGTGAAAATAGAGAGCGTTTTATATAATAATTTACTTTCTGCTTAATGATTTTTATATAATCAACTCTACAGCTCTATTTCAGAGCACACACAAAATTAAAAGTAAATTAAGCTACAAAGAACAAACGAAATTCTCATCAAATTTGATGTGCAGATTTTTTTTATTCAAAACGAGGAAACTGTTCCAACTGTGGCTGCTTTTATTTTGTCTCTCCCTTTATAAAATTTTCATTTTTAAAATGTAAATTGTGAATATTGCTTTATTGTGGGAGACTACTTAAGATTAGCTTTATTTAACATAATAACTAATTTACTGGATGAATTGAAATTGATAAAAATATTTAATTCTCTTGTGAGAAAAATTTCAGTTGATATTGAGATTCACCATTTCCTGTGAATAAATAAAACCACAGTCAATATCGGGAGGGAAAATGATAATTTTAATATGGCAGAAGCTTTTTATGAAGATCACAGGAAGTTTCAAATTGAGTGTGCAACAATTTTCACTATCAACAGTCCCAAGATTTGTATTTATAATATTTTTTTTATTTTTATTCTCATAAAAAAGTTCTTTTAATAAAAAAAAACGACGTTTATTCAAATAGAAATGAAAGCAATCTTTATTTTTATTGGTCCATACGGCTGCAAATGTAAAGAAATATGATTATTTATGTAAAATGGGCTCTTAACATTTCTCATCATTTACTGGGGAGGCCCAGGTTTATAAAAATATTGGTATTTAATTTTAACTTCCTCTCAACATACCCTGCTCCCTATATAGTTAACAGATAACTAACTAAAGTGATGTTGGGACAAAATTAAATTAAAACAATATTCTAAATAAATCCTAAAAAATTGAAACCGGGTGAACCTCGTGTTTGCCTAATTTCAATTAATCTCATATCCACCTTGTGTGTTAGCATTATATTCAAATCCTGTCTAATTTAGGTACAAATATGTTAAAAAAATTGGAATTATAGACCATAATTTAGTTTCAAATCAAAAATAAAGACACATCTGCTTTTCGAACAATAATTCCTGCTGAAAATACTCATCAAGAATTTACAATTTGGCTCTTCACTCGAAAATGGGCGCATGCACAGGCTCTCTCTCTCTCTCTCTCTCTAAAGAGGTCAAAACAATGGAGCAAAGTAATTATCATCAGCGAAGGGCTGATTTTCCTCATTCTTGTCGTTAATAACAGCAGCGGCAGCGGCGGCGGAGAGAGACTAATTCTGCAGAGCGCCCAATCAAATTCCGAACACGCTTACATTTCCTCCCCAACAGCCATTATTGCCACTGCAAGCAATCAATTTCTTATTTCGCCTCTCTCATTGTGATCAGATAATTTATGCCAGGGGACGATTGGCTGTAATAAGTTCCGCTCCGATATAATTTGATCAGAAACGTGATTACCTCTGCGGAATACAAAGTTAAAAAAAATCAATGAAAATCATTTTTATTTTTTTGTGCGAATAAAATTGTTGGCCAATGTGGGTAAGTTTAATAATTACACACAAGAGCGCGGTGTAGTAATTAATCGGCAATGTCTGCTGAATGGTTAATTAGGCTAATTAATTCGGTGCTGCATAATTCATCTTTTGCTGCGCGGCACGAAAAATCAAAGCTGGAAAAAGCGTAATGATCGCCGTCATTTAGATGAAAAGCAGGATAATTACACCCGGGCCCATATATTTTTAATATAATCCCCTGCGCACGGCGTGTGATGTGTGGTGGGTATTAATACACTTGTTCTTAATGACGCAATGAGAGGGAATTGACGTCACCTTTTTTTAAATGTAATAGTCATTAAGTTGGCAAAGACATTTCCATTCGCACAAAGGGCATGTTGTGTTTTTGTCATTTCGCTTTCGTTTCTCGATTGGACATTCATACATTCGCATTCGCGTGCGAAAAGAAATAAAACGGAAAATTCACTCCATCGAGCCAAATAATTTTCCGGCCCGCAGAATTATAAGCAGCGTTCGCACCGCGGACCTCATTAACGACACTCACTCGCGTATTCGTGCAATCGCTAATGAATTTGCTGCTTTCTGACTCATGAGAGCGCAGTTGAAACACATTAAGCTGCTTTTTTCCTCTCTCTCAGCCCCGCTCGCTACTTAATGCGAAACCCACGCGCTCAACATTACTCGATTTTTCAATCGTGCGCTTAATGCGTGTTTGGCACAAGTAATGTGCGACTTTTGCTCGTTGGCAAGACGGCAAAAGCGCGAGTCGCAAATGAGCGGAGCTGAAAAAGTCCAAAACTTGAGAAATTAATCTTTTTAGTTTGTAATTTTCTGAAAAGGGGAAGAATATTTTATCATTGGAAAAATAAACGGTGAGAACACCAAATGCAATTTCATTATGCACCAGAATTTCTTTTAAATTATTGACAAGCATACGTAGGATGTTCGGTATCTAGTAGAAATTTACAATGGTTAATTTTTTCGAAGAACTCCTATTTCGCAGTTTTTCTCAAGTACAGTTTGAACTCAAAAACTGTAAACTTTCGACTAATTTTTCTTATCATTTCAGATCATTTATTTTTTAATTGGGAATTCAACACATGTTTCAAAGAGACAAAAATAACCCTTATATATTTGCATCATTTTCTTCCCATTTCCTCATAAGAACTTAAAAACTCTGAATTACAAGAATAATATTAATTAATGTAAAATGAAGTCCTCTCGGAGGAGGCACAGATTAATTTTTTAGTCAATTATATTATGATGGAGCTTCATCTTCTCACAAAATAAAATACTTAATTTCATAAAAAAACCTAAAATAAAAAAAAAAATAAGTGTTATTAAAAAACATTTTAAGCAAGTCAAACAAAATATTAAATTTAGCATGATGTATAAATTAATAAATTATTATTTTTTTTTAATAAAGTAAAATAAATGAACTAAGATAGTATAAAATGTAACAATTTATTTTTGTTAAACAATTTTATTAACTTTAAAAGGTTGAAAAGATAATAAAAAATCCTTTTGCAATGAATCGCATAGAAATAGCGGTTTTGCAAGTCAATTCCATACAGCTTCATAAATGTAAGCTGTGTGCAAATTGGAGCGAAATGTGAATTACTAGAGACGGCACACGCGCGTCGAGCTAGTTTAAATTCGAACGAACGCCCTCCTCTCCAGCAAAATGTGTAATATGTGTACGTGTTTACACAGATGAGGCTCGGAGAGATGAGCGAGGACCAGCGCGAATTCAAAAGCATTTCGGATGACAATCCTTTATGCACGTCGGTGAATAGGAGCTCATTAGCAGTAATGAGTAAGGTGATTAATAGCGCATAGCTTATGAAAGCGATACCATTGCACCACCGCGATGACGACGGCGATGATGATGATGATGATGATGGCGATACACACACACATACACACAAAATAATAATAATAATTCGAGAGAGCAACCCTTCCCCGCGCATTCACATGTATAGTGGCGGGTTCGGTAGTTGTAATGTATTAGATTATATTTTGCGCGCGCGAGCAGCGCTTAGAACAAAACGATCCGAAATGATGATGAATAATTATGGTCCATTTTCATTAGTGCGCCGCGCACAATAGGCTGCGTGTGTACATGCAAGACTATGATAATTTATCGCGTCCAATCGATGCTTTCCCTCCCTCGCAATCTGCACATGATTGTTATTAATAATTCGCGCGCAATGTTTTTCCAAGTAGCAGTTGCGGGTCGATCAGACTTGGAGCTTTTTGCGTCGAGTTTGTTTTAACAAAAAAAGATTGATTTTAATTCGGTGTGCAAATATTTGTCCAGGAAAAAGCTTTTATATGCCTAATATCCTTTGGGATTTCGAATTTAAACGAGTAAAATGTCATGAGAAAGAATGAAAGAATTTTACTTGAAAAGAATTTCGTAAAATATTTCATTGTAATTTTTATTATATTATAAAACTTGAAGTTATACCTGTTTGAGATTTCACATCCAGATTTGAAAAGATTTTGTTGACGTACGCATTGTGCTATCCTTGGGGACTTCAATTTTAAATTCTTCAATTTTTGCGATTTACAACCTATTTAACTGGAAATCAGAATTACATTGGAAAGTTAAAGGTAGGCAAAATATTTACAAGGAGGACGATTTTGTTGGTTTCTTAGAATGTAAATTGGGCAAAAAAATAATAGCCGTTTCTGGGTCCCCAAAGGCAGAGCAAGTTGCATACCAACCTTAATCAAAATCGACGTATGTCCTCTCAATATAGTTGCAAATTGTGTTTATCATCTTGTTAAATTTTTATAATACTTCATTTGAAAACGAATTTGTCTGGGAGTGTCAGTAAGTTCTTTGCCTCACTTTTTATACTTTTCTCATAGAGAGGAATCACATTGAGAGACCGGATTTGAAAACTTACAAAAATAATAAAATCAACTGTGTCGTCAAGAGTGTTTCCGTATAAAATTCTAATTACTGTAATTATTACAATTATCCAAATAAAAATATTGTGACTTATACGCTTCTATATAGTGAATAGAATTCGTGGTATATTTCTATTTTTTAACGATGAACTGCAACTAAAAAAACTCTTGAGAAACACATTACAAACTTTTAATTTTGCTAAGTATTACTTGGACTCAATTATGTAATAGCACAAAAAAGATAAGAAATTATATATTAAAAACATATTTCTAGAAAATGTTAAGACCATTTTTATGCAATTTTAGAATTAATATTCAAAAATGTATATTTTTAAAATAATTTTAGTTAAAGCATTATATATTTACAAGTTTATACTATAAATTTATGGTAAAAAGTGTGAAAAAATCGCTACCTTTCTTTATATATTTTTTATTTTCTTAAAAATATTGTGCTTATTTAGAAAATGTCACAAGTATTATTAGTGTTGTCTCTTGGAAACAAACGTGACAAAAATGAAAAGGATCAAAATTATTGTGTGGCCTTATTGGCCTAAATAATTAATTATAAATTACTGCTCTCCACGAGCAAATTACTGAAAGCAATCGAATCAGGTCAGTCGGCTCTCTACATAAAATATTTGGTCTGCGTTATCCGTTTTCCTTCAGGTGCCCCCGAAAAGGCCGTCTCACTTTTTTATGTACTAATCCGCTCATTGCGAGCTCCGAGAGCCACTACTTGCACATGTACGTATATTCTAGGAGATAAAAAAAAGGGAGCGAGAGACGGACGAACGAGAAACCAGTCAGTAGCAGTAGCGGAGCGGCATTTAAATTAATAATATTACTTAACAATCCTGCTGCTTAATTCAATGAATATTTAAGAGCGAGCCGGGGAGATAAAATTAAGAGTTGGCGCTGCTGAATAATGTGTGTTGTCACATCTCCGCTATGTTAATGTTCTACTGCGAAAAAAAAAACACTCGCCGACTTAAATACATTTCGCCGTACAAAGGGACCCTAGCTCATGATGCTCTGCTTGTTCTTCTTTCGCTCTGCATATATATTTAACGCGCGCAGCTTTAGATTAATGTCTCATTTACTCGGCGCCCGGGATGAAGGAAGGCTGATTATAATTATTTATGCAAAGAGCCTTAATTCATGCCCAAGTGAATAATTTATCCGCCTTTTGAAATAATGAGAGCGACTCGTGAAAAATGAACGCACTTAATGCGCCTCGTACAATTACACACAGCGACTGCCTTTATGCTTAATTTTTCGCCTTTCCCGCGCTTTGCTCCGGCACAAAGCCCCGGAAAAACAGCGCGTCGGTTTCTTTGTGTCGACGCCGCAGCTTTTTTTATACACTTATCTCTCCGGCGCGCCGCGCGTAATGATCTAGACGCGTCGCTCCAAATTAAGTTTAATTAATTAAAAGTTTGCTGACATCACTCGCCAGCGTAAATACACTCGTTTCCTAACGAGATGAGACTGCAAGACTTTCTTCTAAAGACCAAAACAACCAATACAATTTTTTACTTCCAAACTAAAAGATACAAAATATATCATGATCAAAGTAAATATCAAGAAAAAAATTTAATCCTCATGAGAAGAAACCGTATTTTGCCTTTTTCCGCCAAAATTACATGCACTTAACAATTCCACTGATTTAAATAAAAAATTCAGCTGAAATCTCTCCATTTGGCCATATAAGCATGATCTCCAGAGGACCCCTGGGATTTTTAACGAAATTTTTATCTTGGTCTTTTGAAATTTTGTTCAATTTTATTGGCAAAAGCGTCTTTATTACTGCCTAAATAAAAACGTTGAACTTATTATCATTAATAAAAAAATTACTGGTATGCAACTTTAATTTACTCCATTGCAGAAAACATAAAATGCTTATTATTTGTAATTCTGCGAATTTCTGCCGCAACCCTGCTTCTCATTAGCAATGCTCTCGCGTGCAATATAAATTTATTCTTTGAGGAAAATTGACCTGCTGGATTATTGCACGTTTACGGCTCACGATACCCTGCTGGCCGAGCCGCGGTGATTAAAAAAGTTTTAATTAAAATTGCGCGATCCTAACCGCGCGCGCTGCGTTTTTCTTGCTGCCAGATTTTACTCTTGTTATGCGAACGCTCTCAGTTTTCATCCAGAATTTGAGCCCGCTTCGTATTAAAAATGGAAAAAAACAACTATCTCATATTTACGTTTCCATCTAATTTATACAATTGGATTTCCGCGAATTTCACAAGGGAACGCGGCAGCTCCAATTTCCAGTTTAATTTAGGGGAAAATTGGTGGCGAGTTAAGAGCTCCCTTTCCTGAAATCCACCTTTTTTTATTCTTGATCAAAATTTTTGTGATATTCAACCCTCAAAATCCGTTAAAAATAAATTGATTTGGAGAAAATTGTATCAATATATTCTGAAATTCTCACAAAGAATAATTTTTAACTTGTTTTGTGCAAAAGAAAGTTTTGCATTCCTTTTTATTAAATTGTTGGTCTAAAATTTCATTTACATTTTACTTTGTCTGTGTTTGGAAGTTAAAAGTATTCAATGGCAATGTTGAAATAATATATACAATATTTCTTTGGTTCTTGTTTAAATTCTTTATTTGCTAAATGAATTTTTTTAAATAATTGGATCATGTATAGGATTTTTTTTTTGTAAATAAAAATATCATGAAATTAAAGCAAATTAAAGAACTATAATCCCACTGCAAATAATACTTGATGTCAATTAAAAGTTACATTTTCAAACCGATTATTTTACTCAGTTTGACTTATCGTTTTTGTAAGCAAAGCTTCTTTCTTGAAGTGTCAAACCGGAACCTCGAAATTATTCTTTCTCTTTTCCATCTTCGTATATTTCTCTTTTTTTACTGCAGTGGTGTTGAAAGGGTTGCAGATTAGGTGGCTATCAAATTATGTGTCATAAAGAAGGAACACGCCACGGTGGTGCCGCGCCTGCTGCCGTGTAATATCACTTTAGAATTGTATTAGGGTTGGTTATGGGTGGCGGAGAAAGTCGGGCGCGCCATGCATGCGTGTCTCGATGTCGCCCTCACAGCCGCCGCTCGCCCCTGCTTTTCCCATCAACTCAACAGGTTTCTTCCCCAACGTCTCCGACAGACACACTCACAAAGAGCGCGCGCCGCCGAGGAAATGTTATTTTTTATCAAGAGACTTTTATTGGCTACTTGTGAAAAGGGCCCCGTCAAACCACTGCCGAAGCGCTTTGTCCCAACCAGATCAGCTTGAATAAGTTAAATCGTTGCCAAATGGCTACTTTTTTTTTAAATGAAGTAATACTTGATGCAAAAAAATATAACTATTATAGTAAATAATACTATTTTATATATTGTTTTTATTTTTTTTGTAGGTTTAATATTAATAATAGATTTTTTTAATATCATTGCAATTTTTAATTTATTTATGTTCCAAAGAACATTGTAAGTGTATTTATTCTTAAATAATTTATGAAGTCATCAAAATTGATTTAAATTATTGCTCAACACTCAGGGGTTATTGTTTAAAATGAATTTTACAATTAGCAAAACTTCGGTGCCACACAGAGGGAGAGGATAATTAGATACAATCGAGATGTAATTTAATGTAACATTGTGGAAAATTGAATAAGTTAAAGCTCTAAAAAACTTTCTCCTTTAAAAGCACCATATTATTGATAGTGATTAAATAACATTTTTTTGTTCATTTGATTGTAGGTGAGACGGGATGCGGGAGGAGTTTGGCGGCCTCGACCTCACCTTCGGCGCCGTCATCCGCAGCTCTGCCTGAACTGAGCGCATCCATCCCTCGTTGCTCTGCGATGGCCGAAGGCGCTCCTGAGGACGAACGCGAAGCCCTTCTGATGGCCGCCGCCGCAGCAGCCGCGGCCGCCTCTGCAGCAGCCAAGAGGGAGGACAACTCATCCTCCTCCTCATCCTCGGTACCTCTCAACCTTCACAAAACTGAAGTGAGTACAAAACAAAGAAACAACTTTTGCGGGCTTAAAAAATTTGTCCGAATGTCAAACCGGCAGAGAAAAACTTCAAAAAGAAATTTAAATTTCGTTATCGTGAATTATTTTTTTTTTTAACTTGCCTATAAACAAACTGGACTGACTTTTCTCCAACGAATGAACGTGTTTTGTTGTCAATTAGGTTGAAAATATTTGTTCTTAGGTCGTTTTACGTTTTACAGGACACGTAAAAAATATTTTAGTTGCTATTGATGTTTATTGGTTTATTAAAATGCAATTCTGCCCAATGTGAGACGCAAATAAATATTAAAAAATTAGATAACTTCAAAGTATAAGAAAAAAACGTATAAAACTTTTTATATTTTTCGGAAAATGCATGCACTGTTTAAACCTATCCACAACTTTTGTGAAGATAAAGTTTCATAACATCATAAAAAAAAAAATTTCATTAAACACTACATAAAAAGCACTGGAAGTAAAAAAAATTAATGTTAAAATACTTAAATTCATCATATATAATTGCACTTATTGTAAAATACTTAAAAAATACCAGAAATTAAAAAAAAATCAGCTGGAAATACGTTTTTGTTTCTAATAAGCTCCAAATTGTCAAAAATAGAAGCTTCAGGGGCGCTCTTACAATTTTCAAACTCTCCAACTCCACAAGCTCTTGCGATCCTTCTTCTCTCCAGGGCCATTATTATAATCTTGCGGTCATCGTGCATGCGTTTTTGGAAAATTTCGCGACTGCTCGGAAAAAGGATGAGGCAAAAATAATGATGGGGGAAAATAAAAGGAAAATAATGCCCGCTGCTTTTCTTTGGATTTCGCGCATGACAAGACACAGATAATCGCCTGCTGCATTTTACATGGTCAGCGGGATGAAGGGTGTGCGCGCCTTTCTCTCTCTCCGAGGATTAAAAATGATTTTCTTTCTTTCTCTGCGGCCGGCCGATGATGACGACGATGATAATAATGTATGCGAAATGTTCAAACAAGCGCGTTCGTACATATATATCAGGCCCGGGCAGAGAGAGACACGTCCCAGGGGGCGAGCTGCTGGCGGGCGGGCGAGTTTTCAAGTAAGCTAGGCAAGCCCGCAGTAATTTCACGGTGGCATGCTCGTTGTGTATGTGGTCCGGCGGGCCTGGTGCTGGGCAGCTTGCTTGCATCTTCTTTGATTAAGCCCAGTTAAAAGAGAGACACACACACGCACTCTTATGCTGAGGAGTCACTTTTGCTCTCTGCGCGTTATAATTTGCCTGCACACCAGCTCGGAAAATGCGAGCCACTTCAAGACCAGCTCAAAAGTTGCTGCGCGTTCGGAGGCCAACATGAAAATGGGCAACTTTTCACGAAATCTATACACACTGGCTTAAAACATTTCAGATGAAACAGTAAGTCTAGCTCATAATTTTTGTTTTAATAAAATAAGCAGAGCAGTAAAATGTAGACGGCAATGTTTTTTGTGAGATTTCAATCAATTTCCATCCACAAAATTGCATTCTCCGTTGAATGTAAAAACGATTGACACCTTCTTGAAATATTCTAAATCCGTGCAAATTAGTAAAAACCATTTAAAATCTTCAATAAACATTACAATAAGACCAAAAGTTACAAAACTTTTAGCTTTAGTCGCGTTCTCAAAGACCACCTAGAAATTCCGGAGACACTATTCCTATCATTTCTAGCTTCTTTCTTTGGTCGGCCTCAACCCTGGTGATGCTGCAAACACAAAATATAGAGGTAAATTTGTGAATTTTTTTTACTTCATCTGAATAATTGAGTTTGGTATTATTCTTAATGATGTATTGAAAAAAAATTAAATTGATTTTGTCTGAAGTTCTGATTTCGTTTTAAAAACGTCAACTTTGAAAAAAAAAATTGGCGTTCCCAAAAACGTGTTTTTTTAACTTTATTATGCTGAGCATATAATCCATTCCTCTCTTTAGTAATATATTGAGAATGCACGAAAATATTGAAAAAAAAATAAAAATTGCAAAGAAAATAATTTTCAAAGCGGTTTTTTGTATAGCTCCAATAATTGCATGAACTAAATCGAAATGTTAACTTTTGGCTTGAATTTTGAGCTTTTCATTTTTAATACTGCTATTTTTTTAAGTTTAACATTGTTACTTAGTTATTTATTTATTTATTTGAATTGATTTTAAAAGAATATTTAAATTATTATTATTATTTTTTATCAAAATAATTATTTTTTAATTAACGATAAAAAATAATAGGTTATTTTGGCAACTAAAATGAGACTTTTTAACATTTTTATTACCACTTAAATGCAATGTGAATAATAATTATATATACAGTAACTCCAACCAGAAAGTCCAATCAGTTTTGAGACCAAATATTTAGTAAGATTTGGTAAGTAGCCCATTGTGATGATACGAATTTTAATAATTCTGCAATATTAATGTAATTATTTATAGAACATTGAAAAAAAATCTGAGTAGGAACCTATTTCAATTTTCGCAGTTTCTCAAAATTTAATAGACTTAAAGGATCTTAAAAATACGCTGCTTCATGAAATTTAAGCATTCTTTTTGTCAACTCCAATGAAATTGGCACCGTGGCCAAAATCACATTCATTATTTTTTTCTGTATACTTTCTTTTCACTTTAGCATTAGGACTTGATACGTTCTCTCATTTGTATTATGTTTCGGTGACGCCCTTTAATAAAAGCCGGGCACTTAGAAAAAAGACACGAGCCGTTATCTCTCATCATAATGCGCTAAGTATGTTGTGAGATGATTTAGAGTTGGCGGCTGCTAGGAGGTGTTAAAGACTGTGATTCGATAAAAAAAAAGCAGCAGCAGAGCAGCTGTTCACTCTCGTCCGTGAATCGTGACTTACGCTCCGCACTTAGATGCACACATTGTAGCGAGTTGGCTGGAGAAGAATAAACTCGGCAAGGGTGTGTCGAGAATTAATATTCGTAATGTAAGCGCTTCTTCTTCTATACTTTCTTCGTTTTCAATCTACTCGAGCATTTAAACGCGCCCACTTTTTTATTATCGTCGCTGCTAAATCTTTTATTGTGCGCCGCGCCAACTCGGCGCGCGCATTAGCTCGCTCATTATTGTTATTATGTGCCGACTTAGAATTGACGATAAATTAAACATTACGCTCGGCTCGCTCGCGCTGCCTGAAATATTTAAACGCAACGCCCGCCGGCTCTGCATACGTGTTTTGTGAATGTATGTTTTTGGCGAGAGCCGGGGTAAAAAAAAAATATAACTCCACGCGAGAGCTTAATTTAATGCCGCGGCACCGCGCGTCTGGAAAATCCACAAATATTTAGACCAGCTCATTTAATTTGTAGCCGGCGTGCGTGGCCCGCGAGAGTCGAAATTTGAAACCGGGTATGTGCGGAGGAAAATTATTATACGATGTTTCGCGAAATTGAAAGGCAGAATGAAATTTCTGCATTCTCGGAGCATGCAAAAATTTAATAATTCAATGTTAAGCTGTAATTTCTGTTAGTAAATTTTAATTATTTTGGATGCCATTGTTGTATCAACAAAAACTTTCCAAACGAGAGAAATAAAAAACGAAGTAAAAAATTCGGTACTAATTTTGGAAAAGTATGAATTATTAACAAAAATATTGTATAATTAAAATACGCAAGCAGAAGGAAAATCAACAAAATAGGAATGTTTAATGAGTTTAAATTTCGATATTTCACACAAATTTTATTTCATTTAATTTAAATATTCTAAAATATTTCACTTTGTAATTTGTTTGACAAGAACTGGATTTTGGATTTGTCAAAACTGCTGAGCCTTTTAGTAAAAATTTCAAACAGCTTGGAAAAAAACTAACTAATCAAATTCACAAACGAGCAATTCTTCAAATCGCTACTCATTTCTGAGTCACAACAGCCGAACATTTTCACACACATAACATGCCAAATTACACCAGAAAATCATGGAAAATGAAAGAGTTATTATGGGCTCGCATTTTTCCCCGACAAAAGCCAAACGAGTGCCGCACATGGAAAAGTTAAATTAGCTTTTTATTACACGGTACAGCGCAATCCTAGCAAGACAGAAATCAACCCCCTCAATCAAATTCAAAAACACACAGAATTTTGGCAAAGTCGAACCTTTTCGGGAGAAGAGGACAGGAAATTCCGACCATAAAATGCGCTCCTTTCCCGAGCATAATAAATTTTATCTCTCGCAGGTGGCGCGTTTACATTTCATTTTGAATTTCGCGAACCAAGATTGAGCCATAACAATGTGAAAATGTAATTTAGCCGGTGCTTGATGGCGCGGGCATGTGAGCGAGTACATTATAAAAAGCAGGCGTACACAACACACAGCATGAACTGCTCGCCTGACGATGAGTTGTTCTTATCTTTATACACACGTATGTAGTGCGCGCTAAACCGGGCGCGGAATATGCGTGCTGAGCAATAATGAAGCAGAATTAGTGCTCGTAATGAGAGCTCGGGGTGCTGCGAAGCGCTCGGGGTTGCCGAGCATGCGGGGGTTGAAAGAGGAAATTAAGAGAGGAGAAAAAAAGGAACACAGAGGGAGAGCATTTTTATTAGCGAATTTCAAACTCTGTCGTCGTCGTCTCATTATTAAATATATTGTTATTAATTTTCACTTTACGACGCTGGCGGTTTGTCTTTCTCTCTCTATATGATGATTGAAATTTCTGAAAATAAATTGCCAGGGTGTGTGATGATTCATCTCTCTCTGCTCGTTGCCAGCTGCTGGCATTAAAAGTCAAGCTCTTAATCTCATTATCTCTCTGGATTTTCAATTACGATTTCCCTAATAAATCCGACGATTACTCTCTCTCCTCTCTGTTTTTCAACTGCGTAAATGTGCAGCTAAATTCGCATTTTGCAACAAGCGTCGGTGTTTGGTAGGAGGAGGAGCCGAGTTGCAAAAGCGGAAATTTGAATTCTAAACGAAAATAAACTTTTATATATATTTAGAGTGTAAAACATGTCAATAATCCAACG